GCTCTTCTCCTTTCTTCCTCTCTTCTACTACAATGGCCGACTAGGGTACAATTGAGCGCATAGAGCTTCCCTTCCTCCTGCTTCCTTTCTTCTGCATGCGAGCACTACATCACTACCATAACCTGCTCGATACAATAGGTAAATCAACTTTGACAATTTATAGAGCGAACTTCACCTCCTTGGCTTCCGACAAACTTTGTTTCCTCTCCCCTCTATTTGACTCTTCATTTCATCTTCCGGCTCTTCGTTTTCTCTTCCCCGGATAACTGAAACGAGACTTCGCAAAATCTTACTTGGAGACAAATTGAAGTAGCTTCAAGGGATATTGATCGAATGTGATATGTAAAATTTAGTAAGGCAAAAAATGTGAGTTAAACCACAATGATAACAAGTTCATCTCGATCTATATTTGCTCCTCTTGTGCCCGAAAAAAATATAATTTATGCAAAAGAGGAAGAGGAGGAAAAAAAAATTAAAGATAAAAAAATTCTACCTTAAGAAAAAAAGGAATTATGTGAACAAAAGAAACGATGATGGCTACATAATTTATTTAGCTGTTTTATAAAATTTATGACCATTAATTTAAATATGCTTTAAATTTCAGCTTTTACTTTGAATTATACAAATGTTTTTGCAACTTTTAAGTTTTTCATTATAGCACAAATTGTTAAAAATTGTTCATAATTTGAATTTGTACGTTCACCTCATTATTTGCCAAAATTAGGTCTATGTACCACATTTTTTTTTCTATTTTATATCAACTTTTAAGTTATATAATAATAGTCAATATTTCATAATTGTTCATGAATGGACTAATACATTAAAAGTTTTACATAACATATTAGCATTTTGGTTAATAAAAGCATCAGTTCGCTCTACACTTTACATTGCGAAGAAATAAAATAAAACCTTATGCATCGCATTATGCTTTATGCTTTAATAATATTATCAAAATTATTGCCATCAGTCAAGATGTTTTATTTCTAACATCAAACCCAATGCAGGTTTTTCAATGGAAAAAATAAACAACTTTAACCTTTAATGAATGTTAAAACCTCTATTGTTGAAGTTGGCCAAACGCTTATTGAGGCACTAAATGAGTTGACATGAGTTCACCTTACAAACTTTCTATGTGGGCACTATTACTAAGACTGCCTAGGCAGGCGCATTGTCTTGAGATGACTGGCAATGAAGCAAGTGTTTTGCTTTAATTGGAGAGAAAAGTGCTAATATTTTTAGCACTTAAGAAGTGTCTTTTATGATAACAAATCAAAATCAAATACAGTGAAATGAGCAAAATGAATTGGAGAAATAAGAATACACAGTAGGAAACCAGTGAGATAACAAGTTCAAGAATTATAAATTTGGGAGACAAAGGATGAATTTGAGAAAACGGAAAAAGATTGAGGGCTACAAATTCATCGAAGTGGAAATAATGATGGAATGGGCAATAAAAAATATTAGACTATCTTTAGGTTATATAAGTTACAGATTTTAAGCTATTAGATTGTTTAAGTTTATTTATTTATTTATTTATTTATTTATTTATTGTATGAGCATTTTTTAAACTAATATATTAGTGAGGTGTCAAACCTAGAGTTCCATGAAAATTCTTTATTTTTCTAGCATAGTTTAATGACAAGGTTATAAACTCATACTCTTCAAATATATTTAGCATTTGGAATAAACTTATTAATAATATAACTATATTTTATCAAATCCTTACTTAGCTTGGGTAAGCACCTAGAGCAATTCCTAATGCCTTAGTTCCTTTGAAAGTGTAGTACTTTTGATAATCTTATAAATGAGACCATAATGTAAGTCTACAGATGCACAAATATTCAATCATATAACCTTGTATGAAAAGATTAGCAAAAATAATATGATGTAAATGAACTTAGGAGTTCATCCTCCAAAGAAAGTAATTTGAAGGAGATAGAAACTTTGTGGCCTAGTGGCTTTAATATAAGATATTAATTGAAAAACGGGTATACCCCGTGCACAAACTTCCCACCAACATTGGACGTAGGAAGATGTTAACTGCAACTTTACCCTTACATAACAGCAAAGATTATTTGTGATTCCAATGAACCCTTAATTATAAATAAATAAAAAATAACAAATAAAAAAAAAAAAAAACTCATGAACTCTTTCACGTCACAAGGCATAAAAGAAGAAAACATTGTCCTAGTCCAACACTCTACAAAAGATATCAGCACTATTATATTATTTAAAGCAGCTATGATGGACCAGAGTCTACATTTAGGAGCTCAATAAATTACAAAAGAGCTGTTAGTCTTGAAACAGGACAAGTTCGAATAAAAGTTACTTGTCATGATAACAGAGACAAATTCTCTGTGCATTCTATGAAGCATATGTGTATAGATGAAAGCAAACTAACTGACAAAAAAAGATAAGCTATGTAAATTTTGCATTGATATAGCTACAAATATTGTGAGGTGATAAGGTCAATAAATCAAGTTGATAAATGTGCACACTTTCCTATTTTATTAAGCCCAAGATGCAAAGAATTGAGCGTCAGTTGTGTTTCATAAACATGCCTGATTGGAGATCCAGGAACATAAAGCGGATTTTTGACAACGTACTCCACGTATAAGTTGTACATATACCTCAATGCATCACGAAGATCCCCAGTTTTTGGATGTGTAACAAGGATAAGCTGCATAGAAAGTAAAGGTAATTGAAGGATCATGCAATTAAATATATAAAAAAAACCAAAACTGCCTTCTCAAATTTAAAAAAAAAAACTGCTATAGATAAGTCCTTAGATGTGAAAAAAGGGCCAGCTTGCATTTAAGGATTATACAATTAAAATTAAAAAAATTCAATCAAATTCAAGAATTACAGGTTTGTATAATCATATTTTACAAAAAAACGTTATAATTAAGTCTATAAGAAAGAATTCAAATAAAGAATTTGTAGCTTTTCAGGCATGTTTGCTAATTGCTCGGAAAAGATCTCAGGTGAGGAAAAAAAATTTTAGATAAAGTTTTAATTTCCCTCTAGCCATTGAGAACGTAGAGTAGATAGGGTTTCCTGAGATTCCGCAACCAGCGAATCCTTTTGAGAAAAAAATTCATTTTAACTGAAAAAAAAGTAGGAAAGTGAGAGTACCCCATGTTTTAATAATAAATGATATGTTTCAGTTCTTCCACCCTTCCTATCAAATAACATGCAGCTGATTTGGCAAAGTGGTTGAGGATTTTTTTTTCCAATCATAAGGCCTTGAGAGTTTAAATAGAAAAAACTTGCTATCAAAGAACGCAAGCAAGCATTTATCATCAGTAGTCCAGAACCTGTTCCATGCATACATGCATGTAGTGTAATTTGCTTGGCATTGACCAAAACTAAACTTATAGTAAAAGCTAATTTTTCTCAATACTTACGGAGTGGAAGTAAAACACAGTGAGGAGTTAACAAAAAAATGTAAGGTTAGGAAATTCTTTTGAACATTGCAACACTAATCTTTGAAACTGAACCCAAACTATTTTTTTTTATGCCAGTATCCATTTCTGGTTGTTGGCTTCAAAAAGGTACTTTGATGAGTGCCTTAATAGGATAGGGATAGCAATCCACTAAATGGCACTTGCCCGTGTAGATTGTTTCCCTCCAAGACTTTGATGAGCAGCTTAACGGCGCTTCCAAACAAGTGACAAAGTAATATTGTACTTCTTGGTGGCTTCAACATCTAAGTTTCTTCCATGAAGGATTTTTATGTGCCAATGACAACTTAGCAATAGAGTAGCATGTTCCCTTGTCACAAGCAGATAAGTTGAGGGGGGCCCTGCCTTGATCCGGGGGGGGGGGGGGGGGGGGGGGGGGACCAAAAAAACTCATTCAATAGAACCTTAACTGAACGGGCATCCTTATAAATGTTCACAAAGTGCTTGTCATGCTCCTTATATTCCTAGAAAAGCAGCAAAGAAAAAAAAATGACGCCGATTTTTATGACAGAACCACGAAAGGTTAGATTTTAGCCAATTAAGTGTAAAAAAACTAGATAGTTTCATAAGTTAAAAACCTCCTAATTAGTAAATGATTGATACCACAATAGATTCCTTAGTTTTCTAACAAATAAAATTTAGTAATAGCTCCAATAAAAAAACTTGACCGAGTAAAATGTTATTGAAACAATCACATGACAAAAAAGATTATCAGATGGAGCAAAAATCAATTCAATTAAATTAAAATTCAAATTGCCAGTAAATGGTAAATTACTTAGGCTCTTTTTGGCACGCTTATATTAATATTGTGCTTAGCTTAGGCTCTTCTTGGCACACTTATATTAATATTGTGTTTTTTTCTATTTTCTCTCGAAAAAAAATAACCATACCATCATGTAGAAACATGAACTACTACATAACTTAAAACCAAATGCTCATAAAATCATAAGGAACATGAACATGCAAATTAATAGATTTCTAACAAATAATTGTCATATAAATCAAGATTTTTCAAAAAACAGAAAAAAAACAAGAAAATGAACCAAAGAAATTTAAATACTATGTGTGCGGTCGACAGCATTAGAAATAGAAGGGTCAGTTCAATTAATAAAAGTTATTTCGAAGGACATTTAATGATTTTTTCCTTGGGAGATAGAATTTAGTAATTAGGTGGCCTAGGAGTTAATAGGTGTTTGTCCGTAAATACTCTCTTGTTAGGTCAGAAAGGGAAGTTTTTGGTGAGTTTATTTTCAGGATTATCCTGAGAGAGTTAGGAAGGTTTCCCTAGTTTAGGAGCTGTGAGGTGGAGAGATAAATTATAGTGATTCTATGACTTTGCCAAGTTTTGTTTGCCTAGAGTTTTACCTCTTTCCCCATGAAGCCAAGCCCAATCCAGACAGCCACGTTCAGGGATCAGTTTCCATTTCGTGTTTGCCTGCCAGTTGCCCCCTTCCTCTCAATTTTAAAATTACCACAGCAAGAGGCAGCACAATTATGAGAATCCATAAACTATGGCATGATTCAAATCAATGAGATCATGAAACATCTTGAGAAGCTCTCGTTGGCATCATCAAGAACATCTCATCAGATTTTCTATTTTCTATTTCTAACTTTCTCCATAAACCAAACTTTTTTTGGACAAATCATTGCCTTCTTTTCTTTTTGTATTCTACAGAAAAAGGTTGTACTCATAGGCCGTTTTTTCAGAAAGAAAAGTATTAAGAGGAAAAGGCGGCATCCACTCCCTGAAACAAGAAATATGTTTCAAACCAGGTCCATTGTTCTTTAATTGTTTATCCATTTGATACCGGAATTAACTCAAACCACAATAGAAAACAAAATATTATTGTTGAAATTGAAATCAATTATAACGACGACTTAAAAAACAAGAAATAACGACAAAATATATAAAAAGACACCCTAAGACAATGGCGAACGCGTGAACCCCGACTGCATCCACTCTCCTTGAAACAAGAAACAAGTTTAAAATCAGGTCCTCTGTTCTTTAGTTGTTCATCCATTTGATACCGGAGAACCCAAACCACAATAGAATTAAAAATATTATTACTGAAATTGAAATCGATTACAACGACGACTCTTTAAAAACAGGAAATAACGACAAAAATATTAAGGGGTGAGCCCCGACTGGACAGCAGGCGGGGATGGCCGGCCGGATGCTTGCGACAGCAAATGGTGATATGGTGAGGCAACAGCTGCTGGAAAGTTTGAGAGGGGCTGCTGCATCATTTGGGAAGAGCTAGAGAAGGAGACAGCAGGTTGGGAAAGGCTTGGGAGGGTTTGTGGCAAGATCTAGACGGCTGAGGAAGAGGAGGGGTTTGACGGCAGGGAGGAAGGGGAAGCAAACAACCTGGATGGAAGAGGAAAGTGGGGCTGCGGCTAAGAAGAAGGGAGTTGCGGGAAAAAAACCAGGCTGCAATAGGCAGCTGGGAGCAGAGACAATTGGAGAGATCCTGCGAATGAAAGAGGATTGTCGGGATGGCAGCAAGCAAGCAAGGAATCGGGGTAGGTAATCACCACCTCGGGAGAAGGATACAGCCGAAGCACTACCCTTTCCGTCGGATACAAACCTTGAAGGGAACACAAGATGTTGGCGGCTCTCCAAGCAAAATTCTATAGGGGCTGTTTGGCAAAAGATGATATTTAAGTTATTAGGATTTAGTAAATCCAATAAACCCTGACTTACTAAACCCTGAATGGTTTAAATTCGAAAAACCGTTTGGTAACGGATTCACTAAATCCTGTAAATCCAACATAACTGTTTGACAAGTAAGTAGAGCAACCCAAATAGCTCTGCATCTAAATCCCGTAAATCCACCGATTCGTGGGATTTATTAACTCCGGGATTTACAGTCAAAATTCATGAAATCCGGATTTATCAAATTCACGGCTTTATTTTATCCAAAATGACCATTTGGCAAGATTTCGCCTACATCCAGGTTAAATCCTGCTCTAAATCCGTTGCCAGACAGCCCCAAAATATGAAACAAAAACACAGAGCACCTATATATAAAAGTATATATGTGGAGTGGAGGGAGTGGGACCCTCCTACTATTGGGCGAAAGGCCCAAATGCCTCTAAACGCTATCCACTGAATCAATTCAGGTTTAGGAGGCCGGTTCAGCCCACTAGGACCACCGTTTAACCATTTAAGAAAGCCATATTTGGAACAGTCTCTACCCTTTTGTATCCTGTTCACTGCAGTTTGTTGGAATATGTTCCCATGAGCCAAGTAAAACAATTCCAGCTGATTTCTGAAAGTGTGCTCACGGTTAATGCATGGGAATTAGTCCAAGCTGATCTCTTCCTGCAACTTGGTTCTACGGGGTGGGAAAAAAGTTCTGAATTTAATTGGATTTATAGAGACTTGGAATGCTGGTTTAATTGTTATCACCAAATAGCTGTATTCTGCTCTTAATATTTTTCTTTGGGTTGGGTGTTATAGATTCCTTCTTAAGTCATTAAATAGAAGCGTTCTCATGACTGTGAAACTGTGTTTTAGTTAATATAATGTTTTGCTTTACGGGCGGTGTCCTATATAGAAATTTATGGTATTTGTAGATCTTATTTGAAGGTCCACAAACCCTAAATCCACCAAGCACGTACTATTACACAAATATATTTTATTATTTTTATGCAGGTCACATTTTAGTGTAGTTTTTGGTGACCCACTATTCTACTCACCTGAGGGTGAACAAATGGTCCATACCTTTATCAACTTTTTTAAGCTACCAATTAAATGGTTACAGACATAAACTCCCACCTTCTCATGTAAAAATCACCATGAATATCAGTATAATCATGGAAAAACAGAGTCTTGAAATTGCACGTATTAATCCATGAATTATGTAAATATTCACCTAACTGTAAAACAATACAAATGAATTGCCCACTGCACCCTTCATTCAGGGACAGACAAGACCCAAGAATATGGAGAAGGCATGCGTTAAGCAGCTTTCTTGAAAGAGTTAGATGTGGCAACTTAATAGAATACTAAGGAATGCTTATTCGAGATAATGTAACTCATTTTGATCCAAGCACCAAACTACTTAGACGGAAATAGTATAGGTTTATTCCTGTATAAGAGCAATTGGTGTCCGTGGGTTAATAACAGAGTCAATGGTGGGCTTTATTTGACCAACATTGCAGTTAATTGGCCTTCCAAACGCCGGCGAGGGCTGCTTTCCTTAATAAATTC